GGTAGATGGGGTTACAGTTCTGACAGCATAGAAGCAGATATAGGGTCTATTTTGGACACCAGGTCCAGTCAGCTTTGTCCCAGACGACTGGGGGATATCTGATCTTTTTTTGATATGTGCAGATTCAGCTACTGTTAAAGGTGGGGAAAGGATTAGTACATCCTGTGGTCAGACTAGGCCATTGTCAAAGGTAGGAAAAGCAATTTGCTCATCCTGTAGTCTCTCTGAGAAGTGGGCTACGTGCCTTTAGTCAAAAGGTCAGGGGCTATTTGGGAGGGGAATTAGGACCATCTGGATCCACCACTAGTCAATGTTATTTTCTTCTGCAACCAGGTGGAGGTTTTTGCCTGTTCATTTCCTTATCTCCATCTATGTAGATGGCTAGAGTCAGGAGGTTCTCTGAAAGAGTACTGAAAGACTTTAGTTTGACATGGGCTTATAATTAAAAATATAGGTTATAAGGCTAGTTTGATTCTTTCAACACTGGTTCAAAATGCACCTTGTGCTTGAAAAACCACAAAAGGCTTGAAGTGCTCAGCATCCAGCCATGTAGGCCACTTGAAGCACTTGAAGGATGGAATTGCTGAACAAGCAGAAGCTGTCTGCTTGATCCACTGAAGCAGAGGCAGGCAGAGGCTAGTCTCAATTTCATAAGAGAAAAGCTGCCTGTGGCCCAAAGTGGAGACAGCCTATAGGCTGCTGTGGTTGGTCCCTTTCTTCTCTGACCTCACAATGAGCCACTGTGATGGAAGAATGAGTGTCCTGCATATCAGGCTGTGCTGTGCTGTGCTGTGCTTTTATCTCTGCAGACCAGGGAGCTGTTTGTGGTGACCTGTGGGACTCCTTCACAGCTGTCTAGTTTGGTAGCTGTTGTGTTGAGAACCTCTGTTTCATTCATAGTTTTGTAGCTGTTGGGTTTTTGTTCCTTAACCTGTGTGCTAAGAAGCACAGTGACCAACTAGCCTCATGGACAAGAGTTCTGAAAACAAAATCTTGAAAAGTCAGTATCAGGTGTTCTTGCCCATTGGCCAGGGTGCCTTTGGCTGTGTGAGGCTCGGCTACCATAGGCTTACAAGTGCTTTGGTAGCCATAAAAACTGTTGAGAACACCAAGAAGAACTTGTGGTGGATCTTCACTGAGAAGGCGATACTGGAGATGCTAGAACATCCATACATCCAGGAAGTGCACTATATAACTGAGATTGCCGTGGGAAGAAACTTATTCCAAATGGTAATAGAGAATGGCGGGCTGTAGGAGGAGGAGGCACAGAAAATATTCTGGCAGATATTGGTGGCCATGAAGGATAGCCACAACCTTGATATTGTCCATCATGACCTAAATTCCCAATACATCCTGCTAGATGCAGAGGGCAATGTGGAGGTGATTGATTTTGGGCTTGCAGCCAAGACTAGATCTGGCACTAGACTGGGAAAACAATGTGGGACCAAGGCCTTTAATGCCCCTGAGTTGGTCCTGAGAGAGGCCTACAATGGGAAGAAGGCAGACATATGGAGTCTCAGTGTGCTATTTTATTATATCAAAGGACAAAACATAAAAGAGACAAAGGCGAAGATCATCACGGGCACTAATTACGTCTCCAGTCACATTTCTCAGCCACTTGAAAACCTCCTTTTCCAAATGCTCACCATTATCCCAGAGAAGAGGCCTTCCATTGAAGACCTTGAGAAACACCCATGGGTCTGGAAATGTGAAGTTAAGGTGCCAAGTGAGACCTACCCAGATCCCAAAATTGTGGACATGCTCTGCAACCTTGGGTTTAATTCTAATGCCATCTTGGAATCCCTATATTCCTCCGTGCTGAGCTGTGACTGCCCCATATATCTACTGCAGCATGTTGGAAGAGGAACTGCCCCTGCCACCAGGGCGAGACTATGAAAAGGAAAGTGTAATGCCCAGTTTGCGAACCCCAAAAGACCAGGAATAAATAGACTCCGCTGTAAATACATAAAGTTTTTTTAAATTGTATACAGGTTCGAACATGGGACACCAACCTCCTGTGGAAACAGGAGAGGATTGCGGCCTATATCCTGTTTTCTTGGGTGTAGTCATTTTCATTGGAGTTTTTCTTCTAGTATCTTCTGTAGTGCTGGTTTGCTGTATAGATACTGTTTAAAGTTTTGTCATGGAACATTTTGTTTTCTCCATCTATGTTGACTGAAAGCTTTGCTGGGTGAAAGTAGTCTGGGTTGGCATCTGTAGTCTCAGAGTCTGCATGACATCTGCTCAGGCCCTTCTGGCTTTCATAGTTTCTGTTCAGAAGTCTGGTGTGATTCCGATAGGTCTACCTTGATATGTTACTTGGACTTTTTCCCTTGCTGCTTTTAATATATATATATTTTTTTGTTGTTGTTCTATAGATTTGACCATTATATGATGTGAGGAGTTTCTTTTCTGGTCTAGTCTATTTGGTGTCCTGTAGGCCTCGCGTATGCTTATGGACATCTCTCTAAGTTGGGAAAATTTTCTTCTATGATTTTCTTGAAAATATTTTCTGGACCCTGGAATCTTTTTTGTCTATTCCTATTATTCTTAGATTTCATCTTTTCATGGCATCCTTGATTTCTTGAATGTTTTGTGCTTGGAGCTTTTCTGATTTTACTTTTTCTTTGAGAGATGTATACATTTCTGCAATTGCACCTTCAGCACCTGATAGTCTCTCTCCATCTCTTGGATGATGCTTACCTTTGTAGTTCCTGTTCTTTTCTCTAAGTTCTCCAGCTCCAGGGTTTTCTGTTTGTGTTTTCTTTATTGATTCTAATTCTGTTTTCATGTCTTGCACCATTTCTTTCATCTGTTTGAATGCGGATTCTTGTCTTTTCATGATGGCATCTATTTTTTTGTTTGTTTCCTTTCTATATGTCCCTAATTGTGCCTGTATTTGTTTGGCTGATTTGCCTATATTTCTTTGAGAGCTTTGTTCATTTCCTCTTTATGTGCCTGTGATATCTGGATTAGCATAGATTTGAGATAATTTTCCTGTGTTTCTGATGAATTAGCATAGCCATTGATTTTTGGGGTTGCTGGTGAAGCCATGATGTCCTGATTTTTGTTGGATGTGCTCTTATATGGAACTCAAGCCATCTGTTTATTTGTAACCTTCACTGTGTGAAGTTTGTTTCTGGAGTCTGTACTGCAGACTGGGTCCATCTTTCTCTGGTGCCTGGAGTATTCTTTGGGAAGATGAGAGAGGTCCACCTGTTTTAGAGTGGATGTTGGTGTTTCAGCTATAGCTAAGGTCACAGGCACAGGTGTACAAGCACAGGTTTGTGTGTGGAAGTGTGCTTTGAAGGACAGGGTGCTAGAGTGTGTAGACCCCGGAATGTGATGCGTAAGGCAGGAGGGGGTGCGGGTTCTGGCACTCTTTATGGGTGCAAAGTGCATGTGCAGGTGCCCTAAATAATGTTCTACAGGCCTGTCCTACTGTCCTCCTGGTATTCAGATCTGTCTGGACTCCAGGAATTTTTGCCCAGACTTCACTGGTAGACCCATAAATCAGGGGTTTCTATGTTGAGAACATGTCCCAAGGACCCCGATGTTGCCCACAGTGGGGGTGTTGGTGGGAAGGACCCGATGTCTGGCTGCTAGCATAGAGGGAACCTAGATCTGGGGCTCTGCATTCACTCACTTGAATGCACTCACTCGCTAGCAGGCCTAATCGGAAAGCACAGGTGTACTCCCTGTTCTCTACTCTCAAATTTGGGCCCACAGGAGCAAATGAGAGTGTAGGAGACCCATCAGCTCAGGGGTGTCCACTGTTTGTCAGCTGGACAGGGAGGACCATATTTTAGGGTAGCCACCTCTACTATCTCAGTCACCAAGCATGGAGGCTTGAGCTTGGGGCAACCACTGCAGCCTCCGCCGAGAAGGGAGGCCCATGCTTGGGGCAAGGGTAAGTGCAGGGGGGTTGAATATTCACCACTCTCTGTCCCTAGAGATGTCCACAAGTGACCTGGATTCAAACGGTCTCAGCTCACAGGTTGTCCCCTCTCACCCAGGAAGCCTCAATGTCAATGTTCTGGCCTCAGCTGCCCCTCCACTCATCAATTTCAGAGTTTCGGATCCTTTGCCCCTCAGATACTGTGTGTACTGGTGGCTCCCATCTTGGACTCCCTCCTTCTAGTACATTCTTGTATGGGAAGCAAAATTATCAAATTCTGCATGTGAAGCCCAAATGTTTCCATGCTGAATCGCCTTCTCATAGAAAAAGGAGCTGTTATGTCTTAACTCCAGGGATCCAAACACTGACACTTTAGCTCATAACATAATGAATGCTATTGATGCATATCTACCAACTACTAAATGGTGTGACTTTTTTTTAAGACATTGTCCCATCAGGATTGAGTGTATAGGCACACCTGTGTGTGCACAAGGACATATTTTTCTCTACTGATCACCACCTAATTGCCTTGAGATAATGTTTCTCATGGAATGGGAACCTCACTTTTTTCACTAGTTGGCCACCCAGCTCTAGGTAGTCACCTGTCTCCACAATGCAGTGCTGGAGTGGTACAGGCAGGTGCAGCCATGCTCAGCTCTTACATGAGTACTGGGGATTTAAACCTAGGTCCTCAGGCTTACAGGTCAAGCATTCTTACCCACTAAGCCTTCTCAGCTGCCTCAACTATTTTTTTTTTCCTAATGAATCTTAGAATTTATATGCATAACTGATTATTACATTTTTATGACTTTTTCAACAAAGTCATCCAAGGAAAGAGAATACTTTCCCTGTGCTTAAAACCTTCCTACTGGGTGGGGTGGTACTGGTGCTCGCCTTTAATCCCAGCAATCAGGGAGGCAGAGGCAGGGGGATCTCTGTGAGTTCAAGGCTGGCTGGGTCTACAGAGTTACAGGACACCAAGGCTATACAGAGAAACCCTGTCTCAAAAAAAAATCCAAACAAACAAAAAAAACCCAAAGAAACAAAAATCCAAAAATCCCTTCCTACCACAATTTTGTTTACATAATCACCAATTTTGTCATTCAGATCTATCTGGTACTTTATTCGAATAAACTCTACAAACTAAGTACAGCAAATACAAAGATGTGTCAACCTCGGAACTAACTAAGGCCATTTTCAAAACTACAGAAAAGACTGAAATATGCTTCATTTTAGGAATATGCAATTAAATGTAGAATCTGGCAACAACCTTATAAAAATAATTGCTAGGTATTTTTTTTTCAGTTCAAGTACACATTTTAAGGAAATAATAAAGGGATACATAAAAGTGAATTTCATTCAAAAAGAAAGATGCCACACTTTAATAAATCTGCTTTAATCCCAAGAGATAAAGCCAGAAACCAGTGTACTTTCTTCCATCTTCACTCGTGGAGTAAAACTCTGAGTGGAACTTTCTGTGTGTACCCGATGTTCATATTTTTTCCAATTTCTCCTACATTTCATTATTTGTATATGTATGTATAATAATCCTGTATCTATGAGCCTTAATCAGATGAGAACATTTTATAGCAACTACTACTTTATCCATATGAAGGGCAGAGAAAACATCTGAATTTGCCATGGCCTCCTATCTTAAACCCAAATTAATTAGTGTCTCCGCATGATGGCTGATCTTGCTTGTCAACTTGACTCATCTGGAGTCAACTACAAGACAAGCAACTGCCCACTCCACTGAGGGACTGTCTTAATCAGATTATCTTCTGGCCACTCCACTGAGGGACTATCTTAATCAGATTATCCTCTGGCCACTCCACTGAGGAACTGTCCTAATCAGATTATCTCAGCAAGTGCACCCTAATGGTGGTGGGCAGAACCCGTGCAGAAGGTGCGGCTTCTGCCCGTTTGCCTTCACTCTACTGACAAGTACACCTATCCTGTTCCTGCCATTGCTGCCTTTCTTCACTCGTATTACAACCATCAGGCTACCATCATAGACTGAAGATCAGTAAGATCTTCAAAGAATCCTCTAGGCCCTCTGCACCAGCCTGGCAATGCAGAGAGAGTCAGCCTTGTGGAGTGCACAACAGCCAGGTTCTCGGCCTCACCGGTGTGAAATGGCCATTGATGAGCTACCTAGACCCTAATGTAAGCTAACCTAACAAATCCCCTTTCAATATCTATTCATACTATCACTTCTATTCCATTCAACAACCCTGATCATATTTCTCAGAATAAGAACATTTTCATAAACTATCAAAACTTGATTTTATTGGGGGAAGTTAGCTTTAGCAAATGTGAAAAGGTTTTCCTTGTTGACTCTTCATGAGAAAAAAAGATGTGTTGTTCTACAGGGAGAAAAAAAGTATAGGAAAGGGAGGTTTCGAGAGGAGTTCTGATGGGTAACATATCACAAGGTTTGTCAGCCACCTTAGTGAGGAGAGTAAATGATCTCAGTGTGTTCGTTGATTGAAATGCTCAGTAACTCCAACTGATTTTCAAATTGGGAGGTAAATTACTGGCAGTGAGTTCATCAAATTTAGATCTGTCTTGAATAGGAACATTATAGAAATCAAGAACATCTCTGACCCTGCACATTTGGTGGAGCCTAGAGTTAGGTACTGCATGGCCCAAGTCGTCAGCTAAATGTGCCAGGAGTCTGAACTTCACATGACCATCATCCAGGGAGATATCTTGCCAATTATTAGGAAGAGATGAACCAAGAACTTCTTTGATATGAGATTCTAAGCGACTCTGGAGATCGTCAGGTGGGGTGTACGCTCGGCTTCGTAAGGGTGGACACACCAAGACAGGTTCTTTCTTCACTTCCTCTACTGCTTCAGGCACCAGGGGCTCTTTCTCCTTTCTGGAATGATCAAAAGCAAACATGTGAATCTTTGGCTGAAGCTAATAAACACCTGACTGAATCTTGCCTTGCAATCAAAACCAAGTATTTTGCACACCTAGGACTTTCTAAGCACAGTGGAAAGCAGAAAAGAGTAAGAAATGTATAAGCAAATGTGTAACCAAATCATAAAGAAAAAAACTTAGTACATATTTTACATACTTGTGCGAATTCTAAAAATAAGTAAAGAACAAAAATAAGATAAGTTGTTCTGTCTGGGAGTCCTAGTTCTTTGTCTTTCAACAAATTAGTGGCTAGGCTATTCACACAGAACACTAATAAATGCTGAACTTTAATAACACTGTATACCAAATGGACACACAGAGCTTTCAACTTAATATTGTCCCTAACATGAAACACTCTCAGATTTACTTCTCAAACATATAGTGAACATTTTTTAGGATAGATTACATTGTATCACAAAAGAAGCCTCATGAATTTAAAAGTTAAAAAGCATACAAAATACTTATTGAACACACACACACACACACACACACACTCTTACCAAAAGTACAAGAGAAAAACAATAACAAATGCATGAAAGCTAAGCAATATATGGATCAAAGAGGAAATAAAATTTGAGCAGCGGATCTAGGTCCTCTCCATGTATGGTCCCTGGTTGGTGCATCAGTTTTTGCAGTACCCCCTAGGCTCAGATTTTTTAGTTTTGTTGGTCTCCTTGTTGGGCTCCTGTCCCCTCCATGTCCTCCTACCACCCCCACCTCTTTCATAAGACTCCCTGCATTCTGCCCAAAGTTTGGCTGTGAGTCTCAGCATCTGCTTCGATCCCCTGTTGGGTGGAGCCTTTCAGAGGACCCTCTATATTAGGCTCCCATCCTGTTTCCTCTCTTCTACCACTTCTGGTGTCTACCCTGTTTGCCATTCTGAATGAGATTTTAAGCATCCTCCCTAGGGTCCCCCTGGTTATTTAGCTTCTTCAGGTTTGTAAATTTTAGTATAGCTATCCTATATTATATGGCTAATATACACTTGTGAGTGAGTGTATACCATGCCAGTCTTTCTGTTTGTTTCATACCTCACTCAGGATGATCTTTTCTAGTTCCATCCATTTGTCTGCAAATTTCATGATTTCCTTGTTTTTAATAGCTGAGTAGTATTCCATTGTGTAAATATGCCATAATTTCTGCATCCATTCTGCCACTGAGGGACATCTAGGAGAGGACCTAGACCCCCTGCTCAGATCTAGCCTATTGGCAACTCAGTCTCCATGTGGGTTCTCAAGTAAGGGAAGCAGGGGCTGCCTCTGTCATGAACTTGATTGCCTGCTCTTTGATCACTTGCCCCTGGTGATACGGTCTTGCCAGGCCACAGAAGAAGAGGATCTAGGCAGTCCTGATGAGAACTAGTAAGTTATGGGCAGATGGCAGAGGAGGAGAACTCCCCCTTTTAGTTTATTAGGAGATGGGGGAGGAAGGGAGAGTGGGGTTGGGAGGAGTTGAGGGATGAGGCTTCAATCGGGATATATAATGAATAAATTGTGAAAAAAAAACTTAAAATTAAAAATAAAATAAAGACATAGGAACAAAAGAGGAAATAAAAAAGGAATGTCCAGATTATCTTGTGATAAAGGGCTACAGTGATGGCTCAGTAGGTAAAATGCTTGCCAAGTGTAGTGGTTTGAATAGGAATGGCCCCCAGAGGCTCACAGATTTGAATGCTTGGTCGCCAGGGAATGCCACTATTAGGAGGTGTGGCCTTGTTGGAGGAAGTGTATCAGTGTGTGTGGGGGTGGACTTTAAGGTTTCAGACACTCAAGGCAGCCCAGTGTCTCTTACTCTTCCTGCTGCCTGTAGACATGTAGACATGTAGAACTCTCAGCTACCTCAGCACCATGTCTGCCTGTGTGCTGCCATGCTTCCTGCCATGATAATTGTCAGGAGCTGTTGATCTGGCAGCTGCTTTGATATTTAAATCATGGCGGAAAGACTGCTTTTACCAGGCCTTCACTGAAGTCAGGGAAGAATTTGCAAGTCCATCTCCTTTTGTTTGTGACAGCAGGTGGGACAGCTTGTGAAGATCACACCTCTTATTTCACCTCCTTGTAAATTTAATCCATTGTTCTGAGCTGTTTTTACTCTGGCTTAAAAGCTCTCTGCAATAAAGTCAGGCTGCTGCGGCTGGCTGGTTGAGTCCCATGTGTGTTGTGTATTAGTTTATTAATTTTAATCCTTACTCCCAACTCAAGAACCATTTGACTCTGCTGGCGGGCTCCAGCAAATGATAATGGACCAAACTTCTGAAATATAAGCCAGCCCCAATTAAATGTTTTCCTTTATAAGATCTGCCATGGTCATGGTGCCTCTTCATAGCAACAGAAGACACCAAGCAAACCTGAGGATCTGAGTTCAATACTCTTCATCTAGGAGAGAAAACTACCAGAGTATGCACATGTCTGTAATAAGAACACTAAGGAGCCAGAGACAGATTTCAGGGGCTGGCTGGCTAGTCAGTCTAGTCAAGTCATTGGGCTCCAGGTTCAGTGAGAGGCCATATTGCAAACTATGTGGTGGAGCATGACTGAAGAAGTCACTCAGGATTGACTTCTGTCCTCCACATATATGCACACACAGACACACACAGTATCATCAGATGAGTGAAAACATATATATGAGTGAAAATATATAACTGTGCTGGCAACTTTTGTGTCATTTGGGAAAAGGGAATCTCACTTGAGAAAATGCCTCCACCATACTGACCCATGGGCAAGCCTGTGCCTAGGGCATTTTCTTGATTAATAATTGATGAGAAAGTGAAAGGTTAGAGTTAATTCCTGGGGCTGGGGAAGAATCACAAGACCACATTCCTTTTAGAGCAGAGGGCTAGCCCAGAGGCTAGGGCAAAGTCCCACATTCTTTTCAGATAATGGGCCAGCTGCAGTCCCCACCCAGATAAACCTCAGGGTCTGACTGGAGTCACATAGCCCCTAAGAACTAGAGGTCAGATGTCTCCCAGGTAGCTAGGCTCAACTGTTAACAGTCTTGGCACCTAAAAATAGACCAATCATTTTAAAGGTCAGCTTCCCTAGAGACCACCCTGCTTGCGTTTTGTTCCTCCCACCTAATCCTGTAATGCCAAGGCTTGTACTACCCCACTGGCGTTTGATCTCACGAAGCTGGGGGTCGCTTGCCCAAATGTCTTTGTAAAGGGCAGCCACCCGGGGTTAAGCTTGTAATAAAAAGACCCTCATGTGTTTTGCAACGGAGTCGATTCCTATAGATCTTTTGGGGGCTCATGAACTGGGTGTAACAAGAGGATCCGGGACACCATGGGTGGTACAACACTTAGTCTGGTGGTCCCGGGCACTATAAGAAAGCAGCAGGCCCCATTGCCACTACATAGTTCCTGCCTCCAGGTTCCTGTTTTTAGCTCCTGTCCTGACCCCAAGCTGTAAGACCAGTTGTTGTAGGCCATGGTATTTTATCACAATAGAAATCCTAAGGTAACAAACCTTAAAAGAAAATCTATACTGAGACCAATTTATAATAAACGACTACATCACTCAAGAGTTTAAGCAACCTAACACTAAATCACATGAAACTAAAAGAAAATATAAATTCAAAGTTAGCAAAACAAAAGCTATATAAAGAGCACACATAAATCTTACAAATCTCATAGGAAGAACCAACAAAAGGGCTAATACAGAAAACCTTAAAACCTCATGTAATTAAAATCAGAAATATATAGATATGAGAGATGTTTTGTAAAGTCACAAAAGAGAGCTATACAAGCTGCAAACCCTAAAAGCAATTAAGACCCTAGAGAGATGTAACCCTGAACCAAGGAAGAATAGAAAGCCCATGTCAGTCAACAGCAATAAAAGAAAATGGAGAAAAATAAAACAGTAAAAAAACATCCCAAAGATAGGGACCAAACAGCTTCATGTGATAATTCTACCATACATTAAAAAAAAAAAAAAAAAAAAGACTAATATCAGCCCTTCTTAAGCTTTCCCAAAAGTGGGAAGAACATTTTCCAAATCACTTTATGAAACCAGGATATTAAAGCCAAACAAAGATCCCACAAGAAAGCTAGAAGCTTGATGCATATAGATGCAATAATACTCAATAAAACAAAAGCAAACCCAATTCAGGAGCACATCAAAAAGGTGACTATATTATGACTGAGTAGAACACTTGACTGAACTGCAAAATTTGTTCAATGTACACAAATCAATGATATGTCACATTAACAGAATGAAAGTAAAAATCATATAATCACCTTAATAGAAGCAAAACGAGCCTGCTAATAAACCAAACACTCACCAAGGATCAAAGCTCCACACTAGATAGGTACAGAATCTACCACAACCTGATGAATATAACTTAGAAAACCCCACAACTAAAACCATAAAAATCATAACAAATGGGGGAAAACTATTAAAACAACTTTCTGTTCAAGATCAGGTACAAGCAGAGATACTCTCACAACTCCTGCCTCAACCTCTGTAAATCATTTCACTACAACATCATACTAGAAGGCATTCACTTCGAGAAAAGAAAAATAAAACGCAACCCAATTAGAAAGAATTTCTCCTCTGTGTCATGTCTTTGCAAATGACATGAACGTCTAAGAAAAAACTTCAAAGATTGTGCAACATACACAAGAAACTGCCAGAATAAACTAATCTAGTAAAGCTGCAGGACATAAAATTAACATTAACAGCCACAGAAGCTCTGATAACCGCTTCTGGCCTCAAAGGGTATCAGTACACATATGTGCATACATACATGTACATAAATAAATTTCCAGTAAAGTCAGTGGTGTCTTTAGAGAAATAAGAGATCATGCCAAAAGAAAATAAAGAAAGCAAGTCCGTTAACAATAGCAGAAAAAAAGAGAGAAATGTTTAGAGAAAAAGATAACCAAGTAGGATAAAGATCCCTATACTGCAAACTGTAAAACACTGAGAAACAGAAAACACACTTAAATGAGAAAATATGCCATATTCATGGATTGAAGAATCAATATTGTTAATATGTCTGTACTACTTAAATAACCTATATAGTTAGCCCAATACCTATCTTAAGTGAATGGCATTTTTCAAAGACATAAAGAACAATCTTTTTTTTTTTTTTCCATAAAGAACAATCTTAAACCACGAATAGCTGCAGCAATCTTGAGCAAGAACAATACAGATTTAAAATTCTAACACAGAGCTATGATGATCAACAATAAAAACTGATAGAGATCTTGGTGTTTTCACATACACGAAGAAGGAAGAGGAGGAGGAGGAAAAGGTAGAGGAGGGGAGGAAGAGAGGGAAAGGAGGAGGAGGATGTAAAGAGATGGCCTGCAGAAATCTCTTCTCTGTGTGTATATACAGCAATACATCCATTTACACCTTAAAGAACAGGTAATCGAGAAATGAACATAATTCATTTTCAACTGCTCCCTACTCTGAGGACAAAGGTTTGGTCTATTAACCATTGTATATTTAATATCTACCATATAGTAGTCAAAAATATTTGTTGAGGGAATAAAGAAGCGAACTTGGGATATCTGACATTAACCAAAGAGAGAGATTAGTTAATACATGAGATAATGACTCAAAATTCTAACTTACGACATCCGTTGTTCCCTGAGGTCCCAGCGGTTAAGCTTTCATTCCCTAAATAATATCCGGGTCATAGAGATGGATCCCACAGGATCCAGTGGGGAAAACTGTAGGTATGCAGTTAAGACACGGGGATTCTAGAGCCAGCAGGCGCACGCTTCTCTTCAGTGGGCCTCAGCTCCCTCTCGTGTCACAACACTAAAGTGTGAAAAAGACTACTGCTGGAGCTCTGTACACACTTGGAGAAACGGAAGGCATTCAGACATTATCTGTTGTATGCATCAACGAAATCTCTCTCTCTCTACACGCACACACGACAGCACGACGAGAGGAGGGGAAAACACACGCGGTTGAGCGGGAGCCTTTATTTGAGTTTGCTTAAAAACCGGACAAGCCCCGCGAAGGAGTTTGAGCACCCACGTTCACGTTTTAGGTTGATCAGTCCAAACGAGTCGTTTGCTTGCAGACACCACACTGGGTGCCTCCGACACGTGGTTAACGCTGTTTACTAAGGAAACAGGGCGCAAGAAGGGCACCGCGTTGCCTTCAGGAGCGGCCCAGCAACCGCAGAAACGACAGCAGGGAAGCTGCTCCACAGGACCAGGGTCCCATTATAACCCTCTCAACTCGTCCCCTCAGCTCCTGGTTACTTTTCTGGAACGTAACCCTTTGAGAAACATTCAGATTTACCTGGATCGAGACCAAAAGTCTCTACGTGTAGCCAAGGGAACTTTCCACAGCCAGTCTCTACTAACAAACCGGCACACGCACAGGGCCGCCATCTTCGACAAGCATCCGCGGAGCTCCCGACTCAGCCAATCAGATGCGAGCTTGCTGCAGCGGTCCCTGTGCACACCGGGAAATGTAGTCTTCTCGCCGTTTGCGGAAAAAGGCGGTGACTACCTCTCTAGGCATACTGGGGCTTGTAGTTGGAGAGGTTCTGTGAAGGTTCCGGGTAACGCCTTCTGGTCCGGGGATGGTAGGTTGTAGCGCTGCTTGACTGTGAAGTGGAGCAACTGACTACAAGGAGGAGACTACAGTGAGATCCGAAAGACTACGCAGCGGAACAGGAGACGGGGCTTGGGTTTGGGGGACAGCCGGGCAGAACATCTAAAATGCCCCTGGCAACGTGACTGCTACTAGACCGAGGCAGGACCTCACCAGACCCATCCGGTGAACATTGACTGGACTTTATTTCCAGCAGCCTTCTAGGCCTCATCCGAGCCCCAATGCTGTGTGGCTGCTATTCCTGAACGAGGAGATGGCGTCCCCAAGCCCACCGCTGGAGCCAAAGGTGAGTTTCCCCTTCGAGACATCTCCGTTATTTTACTACTCCGGAGACTGCTAGGCCGCACCATCACCTCTTCCCCAGTCCCCATCTCCTGAACATAGCTCCAGCTCTAAGGACCCCAGCCAACCTTCGGTGTACCTCTTGCTGCAGGGTTCACTTACAAACGACCCACAGGCTCCTTTTTCTATTTATTTTTTTTTTCAATAGCAACTTAATAAATCGGCTACTAAATTGATAAAAATTAAGACTGCTCCAAGTTAGTTCTCATTTGTGAGTTCCCCAGGTGAGACACTATTTTTGATCTTCTCTGTCTTCTGCAGCTGGCATGATGGTTGAACTCAAGGTGAGTGCTTAGCGAACCTAATGGAATTGAGTTGAATTGGGTCACAAGCTGGTGTGAGTAGAACATTGGAGGGGGACAGTGAGGTGAGGAAAGCTTGGGGAGGTCTTGAAGCTGTTAACAAAATTAAAAGTAATGGTATTAGTGTATGATAACTAAATCAGAACAGGCCTTGGTAGGCACAGATCCAGATCAATCTGAGGTGTGTGGCTATAATTGTCAGTTCCAATAATTGGGCACATTTTGGTGCGCTTATTTACCTTGTTTCTCTTAGTAATAACTTGGTAAGTAACAACTTCTACCACGTTCAGTCGTAGAATTGCCCTTGAGACAACTGGAACTGACTACAGAAGTCACTATTTCAGCAGTTGCTGACATTTGAGGATATGGCTGTGTTTTTACCCAGGAGGAGTGGAATTATTTGGATCCAGCTCAGAGAAGCCTGTATAAAGATGTCATGATGGACAGCTATGGAAACCTGGCCTCACTGGGTAAGAATGTGCAGTTTCTCTAACTAAACTATCGAATAAGGTGCTAACCCTCATACTCAGAATGCTTCGAACAATATATCTGACAGGAGTATCGTTTTGTTCCACAACTCTGATTCTGATTCTTCAGCCATTATTTCCATGACTCTTACCTCTAGCTCCCTTGTAGCCAAGCACAAGCTTTCCTAGCTTCCTAACCTCATTCCCATGTTGCTCTCTGCTTCTCTTCCTGGTTCATCTTCCCACTGCTTTCCTCCCACCCCTTTCACTCTGCGTTCTGGAGCCTGGGTTTCTCTTCACACAGTGTTCCTTACCCCTCCTGGCCTGCACTGAAACCTGGCAAGGACACCACTTCTCTGGCAAACCTCCCAGCGGGGGCTGCTCATTCTCCCAGTCCTCCTTCCTCTTTCTTTGTTTCAAGGCTGGAAGGCAAAAGTTAATTATTCTTCCAGCTCCTCAGTGCTGTTTCCAAAGCATTTATTTTCCGCCTTCCAATAAAATGTCCTTTTGTTGTGTCATCTATTCTTTTTATCATCTCTGTCAATTTTTTCTTTTTCTTTTTCTTTCTTTTTTTTTTTTTTCTCTTTTAGTCTTCAATGCTTAACCCAGTCATTAGGTGAGCCCCAGTGGATGTTGAGCTTGTAGACTTCGGCAATCCTGCTTTCCATACTTATTAACTACTCACATCATTGATCATGGTCTTAATTTTGTTATAAGAAGCAAGTCTGAAAACACACTATTCTACTTTCTGACTACTATTAACTATAACTAAACAAAAAGCCAAAACAGGTTTATGTCTTGCCCTGGTGGAGCTTATCTGAAGCTTACATTTCCATCTCCTTCACCTTTCTGCCTAAACCAGTTCATTCTTAATGTAGTTTTTTCTCCCTTGAAGGGCTCGTGTCTTCCCTCTGGTTTCAACTCCTTCCTAACTTGAGAAAATCTCTTCTAGTCGCTAGCATGTTTTCTGGCCACTTTGACACGATGCTGTACTTACTCTGCAAATTTCAAATCTTGTGTTTGTTTAAAATCTTTTGTTCTTTGAGACAGGATTCTCACTGTATAGCACGGGTTGGCCTAGAACTCCCTATGTAGACAAGGCTGGCGGGGGTCACAGAGCTGCACCCACCTCTGCTTTCTAAGGGCTGAGATTAAAGGCATGCACCACCATACCACCGTGTGTGTGTGTGTGTGTGTGTGTGTGTGTGTGTGTGTTCTTTGTAATGAGTCCGTCACTCTGTGGGCTTCATTTCTATTTCACAGACAAAATAGAGATCACTAACATGAATTCTTAACCCCTTTGCCTCTTATCCACATCCTTAAAACAGCTTCCATCATTTCACCAGAAACTGATGGTAGTCTCTGTTTTTTTCTCTCTTGCTACTTGATAAAATTGGGAGATTGCTGCTGGAGATCATGCAAGCCTAGGGCCCTGTTTATGCCAAGCAACCTTTCTACAGTGAGGCACACTCCCAGCTTTTACCCTCAGTACCCTCTGTTCTATGATGGGGTTAAACCATAGTCTTCCCAGCTTGGGGTAAAAAGAAACTTAACTGAATCAGTGTCTCCCACATGCTGTTTTCTGTGATTCCCAGCCAAGGTTTGATAAGTTCATGTGTATTTTATACAACTTTACCTTCTCCCATCTCTGTGATTTTTGTCTTGTGTCCTCAGTCTCCTTCAGTTGTTCCACAGAGATTTGAAACAAGTTGTTTGTCAGATATGGTAGGCACTTTCTGGACCTTATTATGACCTTTTTATTATTTTGTTTTGAGGCAGGTTTTTGTTTCATATCCCAGGCTGGCTTCAAATTCACTATCTTTCTGCCTCAACCACACAAACTACTGAGATGTCAGGCATTTCCCGCTAAACATGGTTTGCTTAAAACTCTTTATTGCTTCTTTCTCTTTGCTTCTGTTCCTTACTATATAAACCTTTGGAGGACCTTCGCCACACTCAGAGCATTAGCTGTCACCACTAGTGCCATCTAAGAAAGTGATTATGGCACCAAACTACTTCCTATATGTGATCCCCATCTTTTCCATGAATAGTTACGTGACAGAGGAGAAATCATTTTTATTTTTCTTCAAAAAATGGAAATAGTAACAATTCTTAGGTTGTTGTTTCTATAACTGGGTTAATACATGAATAAAGTACTTAAAAAGCCGATTAACAGATGATGTTTCCTTCCCTGCCTACCCCCTTCTTTTGATTTTCTTGTCTTCTTTGTTGAGTTCCAAATTTGCAGTTTTCTTCTTTTGGAAACAATGTAGGTTCTATCTGACAAGATCTCAAGAGTCTTCTCTGCACAGCCAAATACCCCTCTTTACTACTTTCTCTTCACTGCCTTTCGGCATTCTGCAAATTATTCTTTATGTTCATTCTCAGTGATCATCATTGAGGACAGTAACAGTCTTTTTCATTGGATGTTTTTAGCACTTACCATAAAGCCAAGCCTATATTATATGCTTCTTGAGTAGTCATGTTCTGAGTAAGTACACAGTTAGTTTTAAAACTTTTCTCTTAGTTGGATTTTTTCATGGTGTTAAACTCCTTAGTGCTACACTAAGCTCTGGCCACCAAGGTGATATTGTACCAGCATATGTTTGAAAATTCTGATGTTTTCTGATACTTTAAGTGATAAAACAAAATCTTAATTTTTAATCACACCAGAACTTCATAAATTCAGCCTCTAGATGACCCCTGCCCCCAATATACCATGGTGTGTCTAGCTGTTGGCCCGCTTATTCATGTGGAGGCCTCCTGGTTGACAGAACCAGAGCAGCCTATCCCTGGCTGTACCTCATATATGGGAACACACTTCTGGCAAAGGTAGAGCAGTGAGTCCTGTGGGGATCTTGTGCCTAAAGGCTTTCTTCTTTGCTTGATCCTAAATAGAACTCTTCACTGCTTATTATTTCTCCCTTTCCAGTCTTTGCATGCTCTTCAGTAGATCCTACTTCTGTTCCCTTGAAGAGTGCTCCCTTAACCAGAGGTCACTGTTACTCTACTGGTCCAATGGACTATTCTCTTCCATTTCATCTGACACTCCACAACATAAGTCTTTATAATATTGGCTCTTTACACTTTTTCATGTTGATTTTTCTTTAACATTTTAATAGTTATATTGATGGTACAGGTATTAGCTAATCACTCCGTTCTGTGGCTTTTATTTCAATGACTCATACCAGATTTTTTAAGAACCGAGAGTCATTGAACTCAGTTTTTTTTTTTTTCCTTTGACTCTGTTCTCTCCTCAGTTAGTTAAAATACTCTTTCAGCTATTAAACACTATGCTAGGCCCTACAAGACCCTACAAATTCCGGTTCTTCTCCATTCTTCCATTTTGTTAACCAAAAAAAAGCTGGCCATTGTATAATCTTTTAGATAGCAAAATTATCATCTATGGCCAATGGGTCAAATCTGTCCCACAGCCTGTTTTTGCTGAGATAACAAACCCACTTTTTGATGTACTTTTGAACTATACTAGCAGGAACCATAGCTACAGTGAAAATAATATCTGGTTCTTTACTGAAAAGTATAACTACTACCATTCTAAAGTTGATTTATATTCATGTTATCATCAACCAATATCTTCTGAACTATCATATTATTAACTCTTTAATTAAAGATATTAATTCATGCTAGTGTAAGCCAGTAAAGTGATTTTTTAAATAGGGACATATGTCTTATAGAATATATAGACATGACTATTCCTGGTCAGAATAGTACTAAAGAAATTGTCAGTCTCCACAAGTAAAGACTTGGGCTGTTTTAGTCAAATTGAGCTGCTGTACAAAAGACCGTAGCCTAGATGGTGTAAACACAGTTCTTTATCTTTTATAGTTCTACAGACTGGGACGTTGAAGCTCATGGTGCTGATAAACTGAGTTCTTGATGGAGAGCCTCTTGAATGAAAATGCTCCCTTCTTACTTTGCCCTCATATGACATGGTATAGGAGAGTAAGGAGGATGTTTGTCTTTGTTCTTTCAAGGACTCTACATTCTATCATGGGACCCTGCTGTGATCTGACCTAAACCTGATTTCTTTTTAAAGAGGACCCCCTTCCAAATCTTAACACACGGGGGCTTAGGACCTGAACAGAGGGTGCAACATTCACTCCATAGAACTTTTTTGCCATTTCTTTTTCTTTGGCCAACAAGTCTTTCCTCCTCTGTCTACACATTTGTTTTTTTAGAAACTGGGTTCACAGTTTACAATTCTAGTACATATTTATTATATTTATGACAATGTCATTGATTCATTTAGTTTAGCATTCCATTTTAAGTCTGACAAATTGTGTAATACCCTATTCTAGAAGATGCTGAATTAACCAGGAGTCTACATTCTTCCAGCTGAAGTTAGGTTCATCAGGGTTTATTATGATGAGTCCACATAATTTTGATTGGAATATTAATAGTTATGGATTAGTTGGAGAAGAATTGTGGTCTTTATAATAAAATGTCATTAATCATTTGGTTGGCTCTGTTTACTCTTTTTTATCTTTCAGAAAAAAAATGGATAATTTCTTTAGATCTTGTACTTTATTATTTTTTTTAAATTTGATCTGCTGTTTTGTTTTCTGTTTTTGTTTTTGTTTAGTGGTGTCAGGGCATCTCACTATGTGGCCCAGGCTGGTCTCAAGCTCTGGGCCTCAAGTGGTCTTCTTGTTTCAGCCTTTGTAATGTCTGGGTCTGCAGACCTGCACCACTACAATAAATTTGACTTTTTGTTTTGTTTTATGTTTTGAATCAGAGTATTTCTGTGTAGCCCAAGATAGCCTGATCTTATCAGTAGGGGTTAGCCTCAAGCTATAATTTTTCCTGCCTCAATCTCTAAGTGTTGGAATTATAGGAGTACACTACCATATATAGTTCTAATCTTGCACATTTTTAGTTATGTTTATTTTTAGGTATTTTATTTCTTTTGCTACTATGCTAAACAGAATATTTCATTTTTCTATACTATTTACTAGCTGTTTTGTGATTATAAGACAGTACACACACAGAGAATTTTATCTTATTTCCTTGAATAAACAGCCAAAAAGTACAGAGTAACTGTAGTTTCTAAGGAAGTATTTTACTTAACTGTGGTTATTAACAAAGAAATTGGCATTAAAGGCATTAAAAAAGATAAAATACCTATATCTATTTAGTAAACTTTGCAAAGACCTTTTCAGGTAACTGCTTTCGCTGAAGTCTCGAAGACCAAGGATTAAATATTAAATGAAAGACAGTGCAAGTCATATATACATGTAATGTATCATAGCTACACACAAAAGGTTGATTAAGGCATAGAGGCCATATCATGAAGAGTTCTGAGCATTATAATATCATTATCAAAAAGAGCTGTCAATTGCTCTTAAAGTGATGTGGTTGGTGAATCCTCAGGTAATAACATGAATAGAGTTTTATTTCTGAATATCTGTCTGGAATCCATAAAGCTAATGGGTACCTTATTTTGAGAGTTAAAGTTAGAAGTAGATATTAGAAAGAGATCCATAGTTTTGGTGATTAACAGTAAGAAAAAAGAGAAAGCTAGGACTTGAGAATAATAGGTAATAATGTCAGTTAGAAATGGAGAACCATTAAGAGATGATGATGGTCATAATATGAGACATTTAAATGGTGGATATACTTATAGAACAATGTTATTGGGATATAAAACTGAGTTACGGTGACAAAGCAGCTGTCAAAAGTAGGCAAAGTAATGAGGTAAATTCAGTAGAAAAGGCCAAAGAAGAGGGAGGAAAATTAATAATAATAATAGTAATACCACCACCACCAAAATGAGAAACAGGGTTAAGAAATGGAATGATCAAGAATGTTGGATGCTGCTGAATAAAATAAAATCTATGAATCCCTGTTTGAAAGTATTTAGTGATTTGGTGAGGAGTTTTCTCTATGTTCTAGAAACAAAATATACTTCAGTGTTGCTTACAGAATGGATTGAATAGGAAGAATTTGAGGAAGTAAGGAAAACAATGGAAAGCTGCAATGTAAGATTTTCTATCAGGTGGCTTCTGTCAAGAAAAAAAGATTTCCAGCTCAAAAATGAAGCTGTCATGTCATGGTAGGAAGATGCCAATAGAAAGTAAGAAGAGGAAAGGCTTGAGCACCTTTTTAGAGGAGAGCGGGATCAGGAGAGGTAGTGAGTTGCTTTGGGACATGAATGACATATACATACCCTGTTGCAGACAATTTTTATAGGCAGAGACAGCAAGTTGAAGAGACTTTACTTTTTTTTTTTTTTTTTTTTTTTTGTTCTATTAAAGGAAGCAATCCAGTGAAGTGAATTTGAGAGGAGGTACTAACCTAAGAAGTCAAGGTTCTGGTAGTTGCTTAGAGGAATAAGTTTTTTTTTTTTTTTAATTGGGGGAGGGTGGTACATAATAGCTTAGTAATGTTTGAAGTAATTAAAAAGCTAGAAGACTACAAAATGGGGAAAGATGATTATGGAAAAGGAATTTGTTTAGGGACAAATATGAAGTGGAGTTATCAAAAAGCTAGAGATAGAAAATCAGCCTGGTATTTTGTCTTATCATATAGCATTATATCTTTTTTCCCTTCAAGTTATACAACATTTTTGTTAGGTGGCTGAAAAATTGAGGTATCTTTTATTTTAGATGACATCATTTTTTTCATTTGTTTAGATTATGAACATAGTTATATTTATTTTATTCTTATGGATAGATACCACAATTCTTTATTTATTGTGATTGCTGTTACTTAATATTTTATAATTTTTATTGATACTTTCTCTCCAGGTTTACTTAACATTTTATTTGGTAGTGTTTTATGTCTTTGAATCCTGGCTTGTAACTTAAAATCAATAAATTCTTTTTTTTTTTTTAAGATTTATTTACTTATTTATTATGTGTACAGTATTCTGTCTGCACATACACATGAATGCCAGAAGAGGGCACCAGATCTCATTATAGATGGTTGTGAGCCACCATGTGGTTGCTGGGGATTGAACTCAGGACCTGTGGAAGAGCAGCCAGTGTTCTTAACCTCTAAGCCATCTTTCCAGCCCCAAATCAATAAATTCTGGTCAACAAATTAATTGTAGAATCCCCTGAGTATTTGTCTTTCATCTTTCTTAGGATCCTCCTATATGTTCTTTTCTCTCAATTGTTGCTCTATTCATATCTCAATAATGCTTTCTCATCCTAAATTTCCTTAACTTACTAGTTTCTTCCCATGTTATCTTTTCTTTGATAGACCCAATGCTGTACAAACTAACAACAATAAATAAATCAGATAACTAATATTAAATAATGCCAATAGTACCAAACCAAGTACATATCACACATATAGTCCTAACTAGCTTAAAAATGCTAAACAGAATCTCATGAGCTCAGATCTTGCCTGTTAAAAATTATTTGATAAAATACATATTATGAGCTAGTTTTAAAACTCATGTGGTAAAAGAAAATACACAGTAGCTGTAGTAGGTTGATTAATGTCTTAGATTTCCTAATAATTTCTCTTTGGCTGATTTTTTTTTTTTTTTTTACAAATATTTCAGATGTCTTAAACGGAAATAAAGATGAAGAGGCAACTGTGAAAGAAGAAATTGAGGAAGACATTGAACCACAGGGTGTATTAGTCACAAGAATCAAAAGTGAAATGGATAAGGATCCTATAGGAAGAGAAGCCTTTGAACTTGTTGGTAGATTAGATAAACAAAGAGGGATCTTCTTATGGGAAATACCACGTGAATCCCTGAACCAGGAACAGAAAATGTTCAGAGGACATTCTAATGTTTGTAAGAGACCAAACTCAGAAGAGAAGTGTCATAAATGTGAAGAATGTGGCAAGAGTTTTGTCCGCAAGGCTCATTTCATTCAGCATCAAAGGGTCCATACTGGTGAGAAACCTTTTCAGTGCAATGAGTGTGGGAAAAGCTTTAGTCGCAGCTCATTTGTTATTGAACATCAGAGAATTCACACTGGGGAACGGCCATATGAGTGTAATTACTGTGGGAAAACCTTCAGTGTGAGCTCCACCCTCATTAGGCATCAGAGAATCCATACTGGAGAAAGGCCTTACCAGTGTAGTCAGTGTAAGCAGAGCTTCAGCCAGAGAAGGAGCCTTGTTAAACATCAAAGAATTCACACAGGGGAGAAACCCCATAAATGTAGTGACTGTGGAAAAGCCTTCAGCTGGAAGTCACACCTTATTGAGCACCAGAGAACACACACTGGTGAGAAACCCTATCACTGTACCAAATGCAAGAAAAGTTTTAGTCGAAACTCACTGCTTGTTGAACACCAGAGAATTCACACTGGAGAAAGACCTCATAAATGTGGTGAATGTGGAAAAGCTTTTAGATTAAGTACATACCTTATACAACACCAGAAAATACACACTGGTGAGAAGCCTTTTCTTTGTATCGAATGTGGGAAAAGTTTCAGTCGGAGCTCATTCCTTATTGAACATCAGAGGATTCATACTGGTGAACGTCCTTATCAGTGCAAAGAGTGCGGGAAAAGTTTCAGTCAGCTTTGCAACCTTACTCGTCATCAGAGAATTCACACAGGAGACAAACCCCACAAATGTGAGGAATGTGGAAAAGCCTTCAGTAGAAGCTCAGGTCTTATTCAGCATCAGAGAATACATATCAGGGAAAAGACTTCTCCATACAATGAAACTAAGGGAAGTTTTGATCCAAATTGCAGTCTTGTGATACAGCAGGAAGTCTGCCCTAAGGAAAAATCTTACAGATGTGATGACTGTGGAAAGACTTTCAGTGTTAGTGCTCATCTCGTACAACATCAAAGGATCCACACTGGTGAAAAACCCTACCTGTGTACTGTCTGTGGGAAAAGCTTTAGTCGGAGCTCATTTCTTATTGAACATCAAAGAATCCACACTGGTGAGAGACCTTACTTGTGCAGACAGTGTGGCAAAAGTTTTAGTCAACTTTGTAATCTTATTCGACATCAAGGTGTTCACACTGGTAATAAACCCCATAAATGTGAGGAATGTGGGAAAGCCTTTAGCAGGAACTCAGGTCTTATTCAGCACCAGAGAATACACACAGGAGAGAAACCTTATAGATGTGAAAAATGTGACAAAAGCTTTAGTCAACAACGTAGCCTTGTCAACCATCAAAAGATCCATATAGAGGTGAAAACCCAAGAAATTTATGAATGTGATGCTTGTGGTGAGGCCTTTAATTGTCAGATTTCTTTAATTCAGCATCAAAAGTTGCACATTATGTGGATGCAGTAAAGTTATAGACATGTTAATGCTCAAATGTGAAACTAGCTACCGAAGTGCAGTTTTAGTATGGCCTAACATGGGTCAAATTTAGTGATAAAGCAAATTCTCCTTGGTTTCTGAAGCTCCTATGAATAGTGGGCATTGTGGGAAACTGACTTGTGATTACGTGTTGCTTTCGTACCCACACAGATATGTTGGTTTATCTAAGCCTCTAGCCTTTCAGTAAAGTTGACTGGGAAAAGCATATGGGAAATGTTCTGAAGGACAAAGTGAAATTAGGGTAAGGGAACTGGGAGCAACTGATACTGAAAAGCTAGGAATAATTTTAAAAGTCTTATGTTATATCCTGTAGTTGCTGTTCAGCTCCTTGAGATTTAGCTGTTCATGTCAAACCCCAATGATTAAGCAAATGTAATTCTTGAAAGCCCAGATGTTTTCAAAGTCACCATACAGTGTTTTTCACTGTTTAAGAAAGTTGTGTGGAAAATTAGTTTGTGAAAGGTGGGAGCTCCAGTGCTTCCCAGGTTGATAAAGTTATAAAGGTATTTTTAAGTAAGTAAACCAATAAACATGTTACCAAGGAATCTTTGGGAGTGCCTTCTCCTGACCCTCAAAGTGGGCCCCAAAAGATTGAAAGTTACTGGTTTGTTTTGTGCTGTCTCATCTGTGAAATCTGTAATACTATATCAACATAAGCTTATTATTTCTGCATAATCAGGACCGTGAACCTGGACAAATTTTGATTACCAAGAATTGGAAGTTTAAAAAAAGACCTAAAGTATATGCTAGGAAGAGGAGATATTTTCGTATTGCTTTAGGTTTTATGGTAGATTTGCATGCCAGTTTTAAGTTATTTCTTGATTCTAAGTCCTCCTTTAGTTAATACTTATATACCTAATGATTTCTCTATCTTAATCATTAAAACCTATTTGGGTTTTTGCTTTGCGTGTTATTTGTTGAGTTAAGGTAATATAAATTCTAATAGACTACTGTGTTTTAAAAATCAGAATCATAGATTTAAAAGAAATTACTCCTGTTCTCCTTATGACTCAATAATGTTTTCCTGGAGTACTTCTGCATAAGATTAAGTTTGGTCTCTTCAGTATCTGAGTATAGTTTTCTAAGTCATCAGAACCCTAACTCAGACCCAATTAATTTGGGCAAATTGCCTTTTCCCTATATACCACCTATTCTAAAATTAATTTCCAAGCTCCCTTCTCACCTCCAACATTGTGTTTATTCATATAAATGTTGAAGGTGTATATGTATGATAATATGCTTGCCTGTGCATTCTGTTAGTACATTGTCAGTATATAGTTTAGACTGCAAAACATAGTTTATTTTTTTAAGTAATTCTGGATGTTAGATGGCTTAGCAGATAAAGGCCTTGGCTTCCAAGACTTGCCTTCCTGGTGGAAGGAGAAAAGTGCAGTTTGTCCTCTGAATTCCACATTTCCACTCGGCAGCCACGTAACCTCAAATACACAAAATAATATTAAAAACTACCCTATTTGTTGAATTGTATCTGCCCTAGATCTTCCCATTTTATTTGATACCAGTGGTTCCTAGGTCAACGTCTCAACTAATGATGAGTCTTCCTAGAACTCTCAATTTAAAAAAAAAAAAAGCCTTAAAGCAAAGTGTGTTTTACTGAAAGCTTAGACATGCTAATCTTACTCTAAGAACAAGTCCATAATTCTTTGTCCTAAGGCCTTGAGGCCATATGTTTCCAAAAGCATATCTTTTCAGATTTTATGGAGAAAATGTAATGCTAACAACATTTATTACATAACTCAACACCAGGCCTTGGCAGTGACCCAAACACATATTAATATCTTTATCACACCGGTGATGACAGACAGCCACCAAATAATTTCCTGCAAACTTAGGTGGAAAAAAGAACCTTATGTTTTCAGGACATTTTTAATTTTTGAACTGTGAATAGTGGATTGTGAGTCTGTTGTTGAGATGTACTTTTTTGTTTATTCTCTCGACAAATGAAAAAACACGATCTATAGATGAAACAGCCACAGTGTGTAGTGTGTTCATGGTTCCATAACCAGGGGGTGGTAAAGCCAGCTTTTGAATGTAGTTAGGGTTTCTACTACTGATATAAAGCAACATGACTAAACAACCTGAGGAGGAAAGGGTTTATTTCATCTCATACTTACACTCCATCCTGACAGGAAGCAGGAATGAGGCAGAGGCCATGGCGGAATGTAGTGTATTTGTTCCCCTTAGCTTGCTCAGCCCAGGATCACCTGCCCAGAGAGTGGCAACCCCACAGTGAGTTGGGCCCTCCCCTGCTTGCTCACAGGCCAAGCTGACATAAAACTAGCCTACACACTAAGTTAAAATCTGCTCACTTCAAAGAGGAGTGTTAAAACTATGGTAGCTAAGTCTCAACTAACTGAAATGTTTAAGGCATCAAATGACTGCTTGGGGCCCTGGGACTCATTTTGCTCCTCTTGCTGTGAGCCCTAAAAAGCTAAATCAGGTGTGCCTGCAGGCCAGATTTGGCTTGGCTCTTGGCCTTGCCTTCCCTGGATGTCTGTAAGCTTTTGAAAGCTTGTATTGTTATTGCCACATACAGTATGAATTAATAAAAAGTCTCAGTATCTCGTTTTTATAAGGCATAATGTAGACCCATGTTTGAAATTCAGTTTTTCCTCACAACACAAGTATCTTTAGATGGTTAATGATTCCCCTTGTCTCTGAAGGTCTTTCAGTTACCTCTCTATAATTACAACTTGTTCTAGATTTTTTTTTTCTCACTTACCTTCCCCTGTTTCTCTAACTCCAACATCCACACCCTGATTCTTTTGAGGGGGAAAAAATCAAATATTTAAGCTTCTTTCTTTCACCATTTAGGAAGTTCTTTTCTGGATCTTAGTATTTATGTCTTCAAATATATCCTCTAGAAACTGATCAAAGTATTTTCTGACACAAAGGCTGTGTGTGTATGTGTGTGTGTGTGTGTGTGTGTGTGTGTGTGTTTTAAGATTTATTTTATGTATATGAGCACTGTATCTGCATGTATACCTGCCTGCCAGAAGAGGGCACCAGATCACATTATAGATAGTTGTAAGTCACCATGTCGTTGCTGGGAATTGAACGCAGGACCTCTGGAAGAGCAGACTGCCCTTAACCACTGAGCCATCTCTCCAGCCAACAGTGTGTTGTCTAAGTGTCCCTTTCCCTTGATTCATCTATCTCACTTAGATGCCACCTCCTGCTGTGTTACAAGCACCTAGTTAGTGTCTCCTCCCCACCTACCAACCCCCAGCCAGTGGCTTCTGTGTCCTTTTATGCGTGTAAGCTTGTTTGGCATGAAGATATCGTATTTCCCCCAGAGACAAAATATTCTCAGTTACACTCTTAAGTTTATAGTCAGATTTTATTTCAATATCTATTAATGTATTTATTTGGTGATCAGAGAGATAGTAGGAACTAAGTTTAAATCATGTAACAGTTCTCTTTATGTTACCCAGAATTCAGGAAATTTTTTTGTTTTTTTATTATTAATTTTTAATTTTTTTAATATTAATCACAAGTTATTTACTTTGTATCCCAGCCAGAATTCAGGAAATTTTTTTTAATTTTTTTTTAATTTTATTTTTTTCTTATCAGTTACATTTTATTAACTCTGTATCCCAGCCGTGTCCCGATCCCTCATTCCCTCCCAGTCCCTCCCTCCCTCATCTCTACCGTGCCCCTTGCCAAGTCCACTGATAGGGGGAACCTCCTCCCCATTCATCCGATCCTGTTTTATCAGGTATCTTCAGGACTGGCTGCAAAGCTCTCCTCTGTGGCCTAACAGAACTGCTCCTCCCTTGAGGGGTGGGGAGGCCAAAGAGCCAGTCATTGAGTTCCTGTTAGAAATAGTCCTTGTTCCCCTCACTATGGGAAACCAATTGGTTACTGAGTTACCACAGGCTACATCTGAGCAGAGGTTCTAGGTTACATTCATACATGGTCCTTGGTTGCATGTCAGACTCAGAAAAGACCCTGTGCCCAGATATGTTTGGTCCTTGTGGAGCTCCTATCCTTTCCTCATCAGACTAACTCCCCTTCTTTCTTATGATTCCCTGTACTCTGCCAAAGGTTTGGTCATGAGTCTTTGCTTTGAAAACACTGCTAGTTAGAGTTTTTCAAATGCGCTCAGTAGACTCCTGTCAATGTTTAATGTGCATCCCATCTGTCTTTCAAAACGAGGATTGATAATCTTACCCCATGTCCGCTCTTTTGATTATCTTTTTTAGGTGTATAGATTTCATTATGTTTATCATCTCTTATAGGTCTATATAAGTGAGTATATACCGTGTTTGTCTTTCTCCTTCTGGGATATTTCACTCAGGATGATCTTTTCTAGATCCCACCATTTGCCTGCAAATTTCATGATTTCCTCCTTTTTGATTGCTGAATAGTATTCCATTGTGTAAAAACACCACAATTTCTGTACCCATTCCTCCATTGATGGACATCTGGGTTGTTTTCAGGTTCTGGCTATTACAAATAATGCTGCTATAAACATGGTTGAGCAAATATCCCTTTTGTGTACTTGAGCAAACTTTGGGTATATACCTAGCAGTGGTATAGCTGGGTCTTGAGGAAGCACTATTCCTAATTGTCTTAGAAAGCGCCAGATAGATTTCCAGAGTGGTTGAACCAGTTTACATTCCCACCAGCAGTGGAGGAGGGTTCCCCTTTCTCCACAACCTCTCCAGCATGTGTTGTCCCTTGAGTTTTTCATTTTGGCCATTCTGATGGGTGTAAGGTGATATCTCAGGGTCGTTTTGATTTGCATTTCCCTGATGGCTAATGAGGATGAGCATTTCTTTAAGTGTTTCTCTGCCATTCGATATTCCTCTGTCAAGAATTCTCTGTTTAGCTCTGTTCCCCATTTTTTAAGTGGATTACTTGGTTTGCTGCTTTTCAGCTTCTTTAGTTCTTTGTATATACTCGATATTAGTCCTCTGTCAGATAAAGGGTTAGTGAAGATTCTTTCCCAATCTGTAGGCTGTTTATTTGTTTTGATGACAGTGTCCTTTGCTTTACAGAAGCTTTTCAGTTTCATGAGGTCCCATTTATTGATTGTTGCTCTTAGAGCCTGTGCTGTTGGTGTTCTGTTTAGGAAGTTGTCTCCTGTGCCAATGAGTTCTAGGTTGTTCCCCACTTTTTCTTCTAACAGATTTAGAGTATCTGCTTTTATGTTGAGGTCTTTGATCCACTTGGACTTTAGTTTTGTACAGGGTGATAAATATAGATCTAGTTTCATTTTTCTGCATGTGGACATCCAGTTGGACCAGCACCATTTGTTGAAGATGCTGTCTTTTTTCCATTGAATGGTTTTGGCTTCTTTGTCAAAAATCGAGTATTCATGGGTGTGTGGGTTTATTTCTGGGTCTTTTATGCGGTTCCATTGATCTTCCTTTCTGTTTTTATGCCAATACCAGGCAGTTTTTATTACTATTGCTCTGTAGTACAACTTGAGATCGGGGATGGAGATAACTCCGGATGATCTGTTGTTGTACAGGATTGTTTTGGAGATTCTGGGTTTTTTGTTTCTCCATATGAAGCTGAG